TAGCACACAGAGCCTGAACGTCTGTTATAATGGCAGCAATATGCAATGCATAAGAACTTGACCAGCTCACAGTGCATACAGTGATCTTTCATTCTTAAGGTGCCCATACACCTTACAACCATCGCAAGACTCTTGTCTTGCGATGGTTGCAAGCTAATTAAAAGCTCGTACAATCTGCCCATCTTGGACAGGCAGATCGTACTTGCGATCATCAAAAAGCCCGCCCCGCAATGCTGAACGGGCAGTGTGCGTTTGCGCACACCGGCCCGTGCTGCATTTATCTTACGAACATGCCACACACCTGCCAACACCTTCCGATGACTGCAATGCGGAACGGGCAGTGTGCGCTTGCGCACACCGGCCCGTTCGGCATTTGTCTCCGACACTTGTACGATTCTCTCGCCGTCAATTGTACGATTCTCGGCGGGGTTTCAAGCCTGCACGGGAGACAAAAGACGTGCGACCGTACAGTAGAAACGGTTGCACGCCTTCCATACACTTTGTGATTATCGTACGATCGCGGGATTTCCCCCGATTATCGTACGATAATCGCAAGGTGTATGGGCACCTTTAGTATGTTTTCTTCTGGACAAGGAATTGCTGAAAGATAATATAAAGACAGATTTCACACTAGTCCTAGCACGTAGAGCAGGTGCCTGACATGCCTGCTGGGTGTTCCTGGTCTCAGACCTAGAACCATCATATTTTCACAATTTCTCCTATATGTGGCATGTGGCATCAGCTGTTAATCACTTTTTCTGTGTTTTCGTCCCCTGGAGAGCCAGAGAGGTGCACCGCTATGTCAGCACCTCTTCTTATATCAGTGTGACCTATCTATGTGAAAGCAAGATATGTAACAACTAGGTCGGCCCCTCGTTATGATTTGCAAGATGGCATTGCATATGCTACCACAATAAAGAGTATAAGAAGTCCTATATTTTGTCAACAAATATAGCTTGAATCTTAAAGCTGAACTTCAGGCTGAGACCCCGTTCACACCGGGGCGGTTCGGGCCGCACGGATCCAGCCATAATGAACGATCCCATACATTGCTATGGGGACCGTTCATGCGACCACGCGATCCGTAGTGGCCCCGCCCGAACTGCTCCCTGCACTATTTTTCCCTGCACTATTTTTGCCACGCTGATCATTGCAGTTTCCATATAGCTTTCAATGGAGCCATGCTGATCAGTGCGGTTTTGGGCGTTTTTCATTGCATTTCAGCGCTGAAACGCAATTAAAAACTCCCAAAACCTCCCTTTTGAGATCAGCGTGTTAACCGCGCTGATCCGCAACTGCCCTGGTGTGAATGGGCTCTAATAGCGAATAGTCAGATGAGCTATGTATAAGGGAGCTGTTTGCCTGCCAAAGGATTTATATTGCTGTCCATCCAATTCTGAGACTTACACACCTCTGCCACACAGAACAGCCCTGTCTGGGCAGGAGACCTGATTTTTCTCTGCTGTAACTAAAACATAACTAAATCCATAAACAAAAGTCAAATATATTTGATGTGGTGGCTGCATTGGTTTTCATTTTTAAAGCTTAGAACATGTTCGACAAGTACAGAAAATACCTGCTGACCTTGCCTCAAATGCACTTCCTGTGAGATCAACTGGAAGCAATAGCATCATCTTTCTTCTGTAAATTACTAATCCCATCACATAATGGAGATGGATAAATGCAACTATGTCTTCCTTTCGCGGAGGGGGGGTTTGCTACCCTCAGTCCAGCAGTGTATCTATGGATCTATGGAAGGAACCATGGTTGTCACCCTGGAACAAACGTGTAAGCAGTGCCATTGAATTCAATGCACCGCCACGTTCCCTCCCGCCCCAGAACGCAAGGGAAGTTTCTTAGCGATTGCGGTACGTTCCAGCAGCTACCGCTCTGGAGCGCACACGCTTTCAGTGTGAACAAGCCCTGAGACAAATTCAGGCACTTTCACTGCTTGCATTTAAAAAGGTACATGAATGTAGAACTGCATTCCTTTGTGTTTTTATATCTGCTCGGAATTCAAGGTGTTGTTTGCAATTTACAATCTAACAATTCCTAAATTTACCCTCTTTTGATTTGCCAACAAATAGAGTAACAGCATGACTTGCTATAGACTGAATGGAGTTTATCCTGCTAGCCGGCCCCACTGGCTCTCAAAATACCTGAACAATCTGATTGGACGCAGGCATTGTTCAGGTGTTTTGAGAGCCAGCGGGGTCGCCTAGCCAGATACTGAAGCTTGGCCCAGTGGGAGATTCCTCCATCCACACAGTTTAGTGTAGATGGAGGAATCTGTTCCACTTTTCCATCTGACCATAGAAAGTCTGCAGATAATCTACAGGTGTATGGCCAGTTTTAGGCCCATTCACAGCTTTGTGCTGTGGTAACACGCGTTACACACATGGGTGCGATGCCATTCATTATGAATACTAGGGATGTCCCGATACCGGTTCTAGCATCGGTATCGGGACCGATACAGGGCATTTTGACAAGTACTTGTACTTGTCAAAATGCCCCGATACATTGTGCTATGGGTTGTTGTTTTTTTCTTACCTCGCCTACGTATACATTCTATATGTTGTACATAGTACATGTACAGATTCCCAATTCACTGCAGCAATAGATTTACAATGATCCCCTGCTAACATGAATGGGTTAAATGATCCGTAGTACAACTACATGTTATGTACTATTATGTACTATGGATCATGATTTAACCTATTCATGTTAGCAGGGCAGAATTGTGAGCGCCTCCCACAAGCTGAGCACTGAGACGCGATGCAGCGATCCTGCCCAGCACCGACTACGAAAGGCACCTTGTGAGGCAACAGGGATCGGAGTGAAACTATGAGCTGGAACAGGGCTGGCTGTAAATCTATTGCTATAGTGTACTGGACGTGTGTAATCTATATGTAGTACATATATACAGCACACACCTCCACTACACTCCAGCAATAGATTTACAATGATCCCCTGCTAACATGAATGGGTTAAATGATCCGTAGTACAACTACATGTTATGTACTATGGATCATTTAAAGTCACCTGTCCCTTTAAAAAAAAAAAGTATCAGTAATTGGTATCGGCAAGTACATGAGGGGAAGTACTTGTACTAATTAAAAAAGTGGTATCGGGACATCCCTAATGCAAACACATCCAAAATGCATGCAAACGCCCTGGAACGCATTGAAAGTTAATTTTTTTTAACCAAAAACGGCCCGCGGTACAACACACTGCACTGCGTGTGCAGAAACTCATGCAGATCTGGTCTGCATTTGGTGTGAACAAGCCCTTAATGGTCTATTTACTTGAGCCTGGGCAGATGCGGTGGCTTGAACACATGCATGTTAACTAGGAATGTCCCGATACCATTTTTTTAAAGGAGAACTATGAGGTAAGTGAAAATCACTCAGCCTCATAGTTCGAGCCGACGTATGACAATGAAACTGTCACAGGTCGGCTCAATAGATCGGGAAGTGAGCAAACACATACCATCGCTCGATCACTTCTCAATCCTGTCCCTGCAGAGAGCTGTGACTATCACTCACAGCTCCCTGCAGGTATTCCACGCTGACTGGCGGAACGGACAGGGTAAGGGTACAGCTGGCTCTGCCTCTAGATAGGCAGAGTCAGCTGTCAATCACGCAGCTGGGTGGATCTCGACAGTAATGTCGGGATCCATCCCGGCTGCGGCAGTCTCAGTATACCGCGAGCTGTAGCTCGCAGTATACTGAGCTTTGGGTCACGGGATGACGCTAGTTTGTGTCCTCCCGTGACCCTTAGAACTATGGGGAAAAACACTTACCCCATAGTTTTCCTTTAACGCCAAGTACAAATACTTTCCCTCAGGTACTTGTCAATACCAATTAGCGATACTTTTTGTTAAAGGAACAGTGTACAGATGTCTCCAGGCTGCATGTGGGGCTCTGCGGACAGGCACGGAGCTGAACGATCAGGAGCTGGGCTGAACAATCGGGTGCTGGTCTCCTAGCGTCTCTGGGGCTGTTTGTTCAGTGTGGTGGACTGTCCTTGGCTGTGCCTGCGCCGGGAAAAGGAGATATGTGACTGGGCAGGCACTGCCAAGGACAGCTACCGCCAGGTCCCCAGCAGGCTGATGAGGTCCCCACAAGCACAGGACCTCGACAGCCGATACGTTTAAAAAATGTAAAGGGCTGGTATCGGGGCATTCTCAGGAGCATTCTAGTTTGCATGCGTTCCAGAGCAGGAACTGAACGCTCCGGTGTGAACTAAGGCCCAAAATGCCATTGGAATACATTGGATGCAGTTTTGATCCGGTCTGTAATTGCTCTGCTCCTGGACCGCGCTTCGTGTGAACTAGCCCTAATGATAGCTGCAGATTTTTTTAAAAATGACATTTTAAATATTATGTGAGATTTCATTGATTGAGTTTACATGTACTTGTACCATGCAGCTTACCACACATATACTGTGCAGTGTTAACTTATTCTTGCTCCTCCCATGTTTATTCCATATGCAGCTCACACTATAGAAAGTCCCTCTCCAGACTTGCAGGCTTATGTTATACATTGTTTAGATTTAACCTGAATGCATGTTTTAATGTTCGCAGCAACTGTAAAGGTAAATGATGGAGTGCAGTAACACACACACATCCTCCATGATATACTATGAGGCTGAGCCCTCCAGTAGTCACACACCATCCCTGGGCGGCCCGCTCGTTCCCTCCCGCCTCTCTATTGTATGTTTGCGCCCAGCTCACCTCCCCCGCACTAAATCTTCAATTTGAATTTACTCTCAGGCAGCCAATGAGAGCACAGCTCAGGCGTTGATTGGCCGCAGGGCACCACGTGTTCTTTCTGGCGCCATATTGAGGCCAATCCTCTGACTCGCTGCTGGCGGAGAGATCGGTTCTTTGGCTGCTGTATTGTTGTGCACGTTGGATTTTTTTTTTTTTTATTTGAAAATTCCATTTGTACTTTTGCAAACAAACGAGGCTCGTTTTCTACACGCCCTCCGACGGCAAGGATATCATTTGCAGGCTTGCTCCTCCGGCCGGGATTTCACGTCATTTATTTTGCCGGGTGTGTGTGGGGATTTTCTTTGTAGCCTGCGGTGGACGACCCCTGGGTCACGTGACGCGGGGAGCGCGCCCTACACCTCGCAGCCTACTTCGAGTTCGTTCTAACCAGTCTAGCGAGCCGGTCACGTGACGGTCGCCCGGAGTAACACCGCCGAAGCCGAGCGCAGATTCGTAGCCTCATGGCGACCTCGACTCCCACAGCCCCTCGGCAGTCTAGCCGACGAAGCAGCATGAGTACCCCGCTCAGCCCGACACGCATCACCCGTCTGCAGGAGAAAGAAGATCTGCGACACCTCAACGACCGCCTGGCCGTCTACATCGACAAGGTGCGCAGCCTGGAGAGCGAAAACAGCGTGCTGCAGCTTCAGGTGACCGAGCGGGAGGAGGTGAGGAGCCGGGAGGTGACCGGGATCAAAGCGCTCTATGATAACGAGCTGGCCGACGCCAGGAGGATCCTGGACGAAACGGCTCATGAGAGAGCCAAGCTGCAGATAGAGCTGGGCAAGCTGAGGGGGGACTACGACCAGCTACAGTCCAGGTGAGTGATCCGGCCCGAGATCGGGCATATGGCACCCGTCCACCCCTATGCCTTGTGATTCTGCTTGGCTTTAACAAAGCTGTATGGGCTTTTATTGTGTTTTATCCCCATAGTAATTAAAGCATGCAATAAGAATGGTGGTGTTTGGCCGTAGTCTTTGTTCAGGATCCCTGGTAGTATGTAGGACTGTCTTGTCCCCTGCTTGTATGCTGGGACAATGGACTCCATTCACAAAGCTAACACAGCAGCTTAGGGACACATTATTTGTAAAACGGAGTCATTCAGCCGAGTCCAATGAGATTTGAAAATGACAGTCACATGTCTGAATTGGAGTACTGTATCCTTGTTTCAGTGGAGCTTCATGACAGCGTTGAGTATGGTGTGCTCCCTATCTGGCTCTGAGCGGGCTGGATGATTGCAGAGCTATGCCATTTGTCTAATGGATCCCCAGCAGATCACTATAGAGGGCTGTATGTAGCTGGATCATCAATCTGTATACAATGGATCCCCAGCCGATCACTACAGAGGGCTGGATCAGCAATCTGTATACAATGGATCCCCAGAAGATCACTACAGAGGGCTGTATGTAGCTGGATCAGCAATCTGTATACGATGGATTCGCTGCAGATCACTACAGAGGGCTTTATGTGTTTGGGTCATCAATCTGTATACAACGGATCCCCAGAAGATCACTACAGAGGCCACTACATGGTTGGATCATCAACCTGCATACAAGGGATTCCCAGCAGATCACTACAGAGGGCTCTATATCCTCGGTATTTAGCTGGATCATCAAAGTTTTTTAATTTCATCATCTGTGCTCACATGTAGAGGAAGGGAAGTGGGTTAATCTTGTCACTGATGGTGAGCCTGCCCTTCCCCCTTCCCTCCATTCAAATTGTGGGTGTAATCAGTGGGGTGGACTTTGCTAAAGAAGGTAATTTGTCACTAGCTCATTGAAGCTGAATTCATTTCAATCCTCCAATCAGTCAAAGGAGTCTATGCTTTTGTTTTTAATACCTCTGCATTTCATTGGGTGTCCAGTGAACACAGCTTTGCTTGGTTAAGTGAGCATCCTTTTGATCTCCTCCCATGTCTTTACCACTCTGTATAGTATTCAGTGAAGACTCAGAGTTCATCTATTTGTAGCTTGCCGCTGTCATTCCAGCTGAAAATCCCATGCATAGGTTTAACTGTTTTAAAGGGGGGAGGTGGCGTTTTCTTTTCTCTTTTTTTTTTTTTTGGATGGTCTGTGCCAGTGTGGGGAGAATGCAGAGAACCAGGGACTCAAAGTGACACTAAACTCAGAAGTTAAAGCTTACAAATGCATTCAAGGAGCTTAACTGTTTACAAAAAATTCTCATCTATTACTCAGCTGTAGATCCTCAAATCATCTCTGAATTGGTGCTGACACTGTCCTTCCTTCTGCAGGGTGGCTACTTTGGTTCCCCATGGTCCCTGTGTGTGTTGTAAAGTAGCCACCGTCACTGCTCCAAGCTCACTCCTGTGATAGACTGCAATCTCCGGTTTAGTTTACTAATTTGTTTTGAAGTTATAGTCCATCTCAGGAGTGAGCTTGGGGCGGTGGCTACTTTATAACACACACAGGGAACATGGGGAACCAAAGTAGCCACCCTGCAGAAGGAAGGACAGTGCCAGCGCCAATTCAGAGATGATTCGAGGCTCTACTGCCGAGTGATACACAAATAAGATACATTTTTGTGAATAGTTCAGGTACCTGAATGTTTCAAGATTTAACTCCTGAGTTTGGTGTCACTTTAAATCAGTTGATATCGGGAAAGGAAGAGGTTTTTTTTTTTTTCCCTGTGGGTAGGGCTTTTATATGGTTGATGGCCTCCTTGGTTAGTGGCCTTCCTTGGGTAGTTTCATGCATTTGTTTGCTGGCCTGCTGACAGTAAAGGGCTCATTGTTTTGGTGGCTAAAGCACCATCCTGTCAGTGAGCTGGGTGTTCCCCCCTCCCCCTCATTCAATGCTCTCCAGAGCTGTAGTGTACATATTGCTCACACCCAACATATTTCCTCCCAGCCTGACTAACATGAGCTCTGCTTTTTTTTTTTTTTTTTTTTTTTGGCGCTAAATTGTCGATCTGTTTTAGATCCTTTTGATTACCCCAGAACTGGGGAGTTAATCTTCATCTAGGCGGTAGAGGGATTTTAGGATTGCAATTATTTGATCTAATGGCAAACATCCCTATATCTGTCTGAAAAAATGAACATTTGGCAGTGCGAGTCTGTAGATTGCTCTAAATAAGTGCTGTGCATCTCTAAACGTTCCCCAAGATAGAATATGGCAATTTTCAGTTTTTTTTCTAAATACCCATGTAACAATTTAATTTTGTTCTTGTCAGGAGATAGTTTAAATTCCTGTTACAGGGTTATAACGCTGTTTGTTTTTCAGCAGTGTTGTCACCCCGTGGACAGGTAGTATTAATAGATTTTAAAGTAACTCTAAACTCAGGAGTTGAATCTTAAAAATACCTTAACTATTAACAATGAAGGGCATGTATCAAATCTGGAGCAGCTGTACATGGCAACCAATCGGCATCTTTTACATTTTCAAATCTAAACTGAAGAGAGAAGCTGGTTGGTTGCCATGCACAGCTGCTCCAGATTTTGTCTGCTCCAGTTTTTTGATAAATCCCCCCTATGTACCTTATTTGTGTATCACTCAGCTGTAGATCCTCAAATCATCTCTGAATTGGTGCTGACACTGTCCTTTTTATTCTGGAGGGTGGCTACTTTTCTACCTTGTGGTCCCTGTGTAGACACCATTCCAAGCTCGCTCCTATAATGGACTTTAACTTCTAAACTAATCAGTGAACTAAACCTGAGATTGTAGTCCATCACAGGAGTGAGCTTGGAGTGTTGTCTACACAGGGAACATGGGGAAACAAAACTATCCACCCCCCAGAAGGAAGGACAGTGTCTGCACCAATTCAGAGATGACTTGAGGATACTTGGAATGCGTTTTTTATGATTTTAACTTCTGAATTTACTGTTGCTTTTTAAGAGAAATTGAAGCCTAACTTGGCTAACATTTGCATTTTTAAAGCACTATAAGGTGAGTGATTTCCACTCATCCCCATAATTTAGGCCAACATGTGACGAGGAAGCAGTCACACGTCGGCTCTATAGATCGAGATGTCGGAGAACACACCGCCTCTTGCTCTCTTGCTCTCTTCCTCCTCCCTGCGGAGAGCGGTGACTACCAGATTCCCTCTGATCCTCCACCGCTGACTGGAGGAACCGACGGGAGTGGTTGGGCACAGCTGCCTCTAGAGAGGCTCAGCCAGTGGGGTGGATCTCAACAGTGTGGTCAGGATCCGTCCCGGCAGCGGTGCTCTCAGCATGATGTACTGAGTTTTGGGTTACTGGAGGGCACCGTATATGTCCTCCTGTGACCCTAAAGATAACTCTGTGCAAAAAAGGTTGCCCCACAGTTCTCCTTTTAAAGTATGTGGTTAAAAGCTGACTTAGTTTTATTGGTAGTTTAGTTTCAAATGCATTTCCATATCCATCATTTAAATGAAGGCTCTCAAACTCTATTTAATGGCCCAAAACAAACATCCCTAATCTGTCATTCCGCTGGATGTGGTAATACTGTATGCAGGGTAGCTTTGGATACATACAGTAGCTGAGCCAATCACGGTGAGCGATGTACACAACCTCTGTCAATCCAAGCAAGCTTTGTATTCATTAATGGAATACATTGCTTGCCGTGATTGGCTCAGCACAGTATACTGTATGTAGCTGAAGCTACCGTCCATACAGTATTACCGCACAGCCATCCATGATTTTAACGGGTGTTGCCTCGGAAGTGGGGTAGTCTTATATGACGAGTATAGCCCAAAACCTATGTTTTAAGAAAATTAGGGGGTCGCCTTATACGCCGGCATATACTGTGTGTGTGTATTAGTTAATGTCTGCGCATATTATAAGCGGCAACTGTCTCCCATTCAAGTTAATGATCAGGTGACGGCAACTGCATGTAAACACCTGCACACCGCATGTAAAGGTATGTGATATGATTACATGCAGTTAGGAATCCATCACTATCTCTGAATACATGATCGTGCAGGTGTTTACATGCAGTGGCTGTTACCTGGTTATTAACTTGAATGGGTGACAGTTGCTGCATTGTACACGCCAGACACAGGAATCCCTAATCGCACCGGAATTATAGGTGTGAATGGGGCTAATACACACGCACCCCCCGCCGCAGGCATGTAAAATAATACTCTCCTATTACGCCCTGCTGCCCCCCCCCCCACAAATGCAATTCTTTCCAACCACCATACACGCTCTACAATTGCGCCCCCGCACCTGCTTACATTCTTGCAGGGAAGAGGCACTATCCCTGGTGATCCAGTGTTAGATTAGTAAGGTCTGGTGAAGAACCAGTGATTGCCAGAGCTGACAGGAGCAGCTATGTGGTCTGCATACATAATAGATGCAGGTCATGTAGCTGCTCCAACAAGTCGGGTATGCGGTTAGTGACTGCGTGTCTGACTTGTCAGCTGACTGCGGGTCATTAATTTAAACACGTTTTCATTTACAGCAGGGGGTCTCGGTTACCTAATCTGCCCCCAGATACACAGATTTATAGTACAGATTTTCTAAACATAAACCGAATGGAGCTAATCTCACTTTGTGAGAATGAGGGGGAGGGGGGAACACCCAGCTCACTGACAGGATGGTGCTTTAGCCACCAAAACAATGAGCCCTTTACTGTCAGCAGGCCAGCAAACAAATGCATGAAACTACCCAAGGAAGGCCACTAACCAAGGAGGCCATCAACCACATAAAAGCCCTACCCAGATTAACATGGAGCCTAAAAGCAAAAACTGATTTAGTAGTAAATGAGACTGCGTCCTGTCATTTATATTTGTGCACCGTCAGCCTGTATTATACAGGGCCCTGTGAAAAATGCTACAGATGTTGGTTAAAATCTGGGTATTGCACTGGGAATAGGTCCTTTT